CTAGGAATTATAGCTCATCCTGTTAGCATAGTATTGTTGCCATGTAATTAGGGATGCAACTGCTGGCTTGATGAGAAAGAGCAATTACAGAATTATTAATGGGTTATAGGCTTCTCTGCAGTGGCTAGGCAGAAGCACAGAAACAGGATTTGGGAGGGCTCCTGGGGTGATCTCCCGCAGCCCTCAGCTCACCGTGGGGCTGGCGCCAGCACCGGGGCAGCCCATCGTGGCGCTGCCTCGCTGGGGCTTGAAACCCCCCGAGGAGGGATCCTCCAGGCAGGTCTCGGCTGCATTCCTAGTGGGAGTAGTCAGGAAAATTAATCATTGTATTGAGCCAAAAAGCAACAAACAAGCACAAAAGTACGTTGTCTGGAAAGCAGCAGATACAGAGCCTCATCGGTATATCAGGAACCAAATGGCCCCAACGTGCCTGTGGTTCTCCCCTGCCACCAGGACTGGTGCCTCCACCTGCCTACCCAGCACCCAGCCTGAAGCACCAGCAGCACCCAGCCTATGTGCTGGTGCGGGCTGACGACTCCAGCCGGACTTTAGTGTTGCTGCCAGAAACGCCATATTTTTATATCTATTTACAAATTGCCTGGGATCTTAAGTACAACACTAACCTTGACCACCCTCAGGGCAGGTGGAAGTTTTTGCCAGGACAAACATTTCATTCGGTGTTACTGTCCTGTAGCAGCAGGGTTGCTACTTCATGTGCTGCTCGCTTGCAGACCAGAACAAATGTACGGTATTGCTTGGGGGAGCCTGGCCTTGTACAAAAGCAGCTTTCTAGATTTTTAATAGCTAATGGGAATTAATTCCTGTCATCTGCTGAAGAGGCATCTTTAAAATTCAGAATAATACCCTTGTGATGATGTGCATCTGCTGATGGCCAGTCCCGCTGCAGCCGGACCCGCGAGGGCCAGCTGTGCGCCGCAGGAGCGGGAGTGCTGCTCCGGCAGCTCTTACTTAGCAAAAGCCCTTTGGCCCCAGGCAGGTGCAGGCTGCAGCATGGCTCAGCTGGGCTGCGGGGTCTCCAACGGGACCCAAGCGGTCACTCATGTGCTTAAGCCTCCCTGCAGACATTAATGCACCGCTCGCCCAGGCATCCCGTGGAGTGTAGCGTCAGCCGCAAGCACCGACATCAGCACTGGCATTTCCACTTAGGAAATGTCTTGACAGTCCTGGACGAGGACCAGTAACTCTTGTCATCTCGTGGCCATCAGCTCGGGTCTGGAGCCTGTCCCGCGAGCCAGGCTCCTGCCAGCTTTAGCCAGTCCGTGCCCAGTAATGCCATCTCATGCCTGCCATGGCATCTAAGCTGGAGCTTTATCTCCTGCAGTGGGTTTGAACCTCTTTTCAATATTGGGTATGAGTAGCAAATCTGAACTATCTGTATTTTGAGCTATTTTCTATTTTGGTGATAAGTTTCAGTGCTTTCTCTACATACAGTATTTTATATAACACAGCTATATATATATATAATTTACAGGGTTGGGCTGCCCAGGGCAGTCCCACTGATGTGTTGTAGAAATATTTCACTAAATATGAAATATATTTGATTATTTTATATGCTATGAGTTTGGTATTTTGGTACGTCTTTCTTTCTGTGCTTATTACTGTGCTAAATGTCAAATTAAATCTAAATAAAGTTACATTGTTATTGCTGTTTATTGGCTGGGGGCCTGGATATGTTGGTTATTTGTTTTCGGAGCACTTCTCTGTTGCAAACAGGAGTTCATTTCACTCTTCACCCTGGTGGGGCTCCACAGTGCTTTTGTGATTCTGTTGGGAATTGCTATCGGACCACAAGTATAGAGAGCAGCAGTGGAGATGCGTTAACCGGGCAGGCTAAATGGCATGCGGCAGTTGTGGTAAAATGTGAGCATTTGAAATCCCAGCCTTTTGTTGCCATGCATCTCCCTCCCAAAGCAGGTGTGAGATCCTGCTTGTGCTGCTTCAAGTTTTACCCTTTGGAAAGCTGAGTTCGTTTCTGCTGTGTTTGGCTAGCTCGCTGGGGCAATGACAGCCAGTGTAGGGGAATGCGAAGGCAACTTTGTAAACTTTAGGAAGCTAGGAAAAGAAAGTGGTCAGAGCAAAAGACAGGTAAGGCATGCATGCAATAGCTATGTGACCACAAACAGAAGAGCAGAAGCCTGAGATCAGGGTCTTCCCCAAAGCTTTGAATGTGGATTTAGGGGCTTGCTGTCTCTGCCCAGGTAGGCTTTAGGCTGCTTCAGCAGTAGTTGATCTCTCTCTTACGGATGAGAAATTATCCTTTTATCCACGCAAAGTCCCACAGCAAAAACCTTTGGTGGAGCAGCAATACTCCAAGCCCAGTAAAACTGGCTCTCCTCAGCACTGGGCTGCCTTTCTCCGAGCACAAAAAGAAGCCAGACTTTAGCAATAAAGTGGAGAAAATATAAGGAGGATAAAGGTACAGGCAAAAATAGCTTTTTGTGCTTCCTGGAGCTGCTACGGGTTTCTAGACTTACTCAGACTATTCCTGACGCTAAAGAGCAGAGTCCTAGCACATGCAAATGAGAAATCAGTGGGCAAAATTTCATCCCTTCTGCGCAAAGCGGGACTAGTCCTGGTGCCGGTGGCCTTTCAGAGGTAGCTCCTGTGAGCAAGGTGCTCTGTAAGACAGAACAGCTGCTACAGGAGGCAGGCGCTTCCCTCAGTCCAGAGGAATTATAGACTATGGGAAGTAACATCAGATCTCTGTATCTACACAAGCACTTGCATGGCCACAGAAGTAAATGGTAAAGCAGCTGAGTGTTGCAGACCAGCTCAGCAAGTCCTGGATGCTTGATCCTGCTTATCTCCAGCACAGGCGTGTGCCTGTGCACCTTTGACAACCTCTCCCCAGCATGGGTTTGCAGGAAGCCGGGGCATGGCCCTGCAACCGAGGGACTTACTGCCTCTTGGCAGGTGGCTGGGGGCAGAGAAGAGGGCAATGCCTGAAATGATCTGGGATGAGAAGGACTCGGGAGATAAAAAGACAGCTGCGAGCGGATGTTATGAGAAGCCCCTGGGGTGGCAGAGGGTTTTGTTGCATGATTTATGTCCCAGCTGGTGAACGCTGTGATGCTGCAAACAAACACCTCGCAGGTGAGGACAAGCACAACTGCCCCCAAGCAGCCTAAGGGAAAGTGAGCCAGCTGCTCCTTGGCCAAAGGGCTCCCCAGCACTATCGCTTGTGCTCATGTAGTCAGCAAAGTGCGGTGGACAAAACACCTTTGCTCCCTCCAATGTCTTGTCTTCATTTTGCTCATGCCTAAAGTGGAGATGAAGCACTCAAAGAGGAAGACATTGACAGAAGCCTTAGTGGGTCCATCGCAGTGCTTCAAAAGCTGATGGAATGTGCAGGATCTTGATGGGCTCCTGCAATTAAGATGGCCCATGTGATTAAGACGTCAATGTTCACTGAAAACTTTAGACATCTGGACAGCAGATGGAGAGTGGCTGTCATGCTCCCAATTCATGTCTATATTTCATTGTAAGTAAGTGATGCACCCGAGGCCACATGGGCAGGCAGTAGCAGAGGAGAAGCACCCTGGGGCTGCAGAGTGGAGCTCTCCCGGTGACACCACCACCTTCTTCTCCACATCAGTCCAAGCAGCTATGGAGCTGACCGTCCAGTTTAACTCTTTCTGGGCTGGCCACTCTGCAGCAGCACTTGCTGCTGATCTGAGTGGAAAGTCAGAGGACATTGCCAGGAGTAGCCTTGCAGCAACATTATTCACATGCATTTTGTACCCTGCTGAGATCCACTGTTTTTTCATCGCCTCTGTCAGCAGAGCAGCTGATTAGACAAGACCCGTTGGGGCATCTCTCCACAGCTATCTGCAGGGTAATCTGTTATCTAATAGTTCTCCAGGGAGGTCCTTTTTATGGGCTTTTCTATTACTGTTTTTCTGATGATAATGTGATGCTCAACATGTTGTGAAAACAAACCTGATTCGCATGTCTCAGAAGCAAATAACTAGATGACTTATTTCAATATAAACATACATTTTAGGGCCGTACACTGTTTGGTTTATTTTATGGGGCAAACATCAGTTGAGGTCTGTATTGCTTTATCACCTGCTTGCTTAATAGATGGAGGTGAGGTATTGGGTTTCCATCAATTGAAAGTCTGCTCCTTTTCATAAGATAAGGTTTCTCTTTTTTCCCTTTTTCATGGGCTGTGCATCACTGGGGCTAGCTCAGCCATGTGCTGGTGTCCTCCTCCTCCACCTCCTCTGTTAACAACCACATCACTGATGAAAGGCTACAGACTCTGGAGATGACACTGTAGGTATCGGTGACATTTCACTAGAGATGGCATTGCTGAAAGGCAATTGATTTAATGATTTTGTTACTAGAGTGGCACTGCCACCACTTCCCTGGGATGAGACTTCATCACTCTCAAAGTGGGTGTGAAGACAGTCAACAACATAAAAATACCGGGAGTTCAGGAATAACAGGAAGCCACAACAGCGGGAGAACTAGCCGGGGGGACGCTGCAGGGACTTTCTCTGTTTCTTTTTTTGAATGCGGCAGGATCGATGCCTGGGGCTCGTGAGAGAGCGATCGGCACAGTGGCTCCCCCCGCCGTGAGAGACGGTTGGACTTCCCAGAAAAGCATCTCGGCTCATGCAAGGGGAAGAGGTGCAAAGCTACGTGCTCATTAAATGTAAAACCACCCAGTATCCTAGGAACAGGTGGTGTATCTGCAGAAGGTGGGGAGCTCTTAATGCCGCTTCAGCTCTGCGTGTCTCGCCTCTGCTGTCCACGTGTCCCCCCCGGGCAGTGGCAGGGCCAGCACTGATTTACTGCTCACCTCCTTTCACCTCTCTTTCTCAAAGACCAGGAAAAACAACCTCCTCCCTGCAGTGGATGTGCAGACACTGCTACTGCAGGTGAGGAAACTGCTACCACCCCGAGGTGCCTTCGGAGGGTTCACTGCCTGCAGGGCTGGCACAGCCTGCACTGGCCCCATACCCTGCACCGTGATGTCCGGCAGCACCGCACTGTTGTTTGTGGCCGGCTCCGCCGGGCTGGCCCGTGCAGCCGCAGAGGCCATGCTGGGGCACAGCGGGCTGCAGCTGCAGCGTCCCCATGCTCTTGCTGGGCAGCAGGTGACATGGAGGGTGTGGAAACCTGGTGCTCTAGCTTGGTGGCAGAAGAAAGGCAGCAGTTGCTTCTTCCAAGGGATGAAGCACTAGGAGAGGGCTCCCAGAAAGACTGGGGTGAGAGACCAGGACCCAGCCAGCTAAAAACTCTCTCTGCTTAGGAAAATGGTAGGCAGGGCTAAGTACCGCTGTTACTTGCAACCCCATGGTCCACAGCTGGCCACTGCTTTTTCCAGGCGTTGCCAGCTGGGGAGCATCTCAATGGCAATGCCGGCAAAGGCAGCATTGAAAAATACTGCTTAAGGGAAAGATCAATACTGAGACCTAGGTTCTCAATGAGAAAAACAATATATTTTAAAGTGTTGCTATAAACCCCAGTCCTCTGTTCCTCTACAAACAGATCAGATGGAGCAAGGTGAGTGATCAGGCACTTGATGGCTGCAAAACACACTGAGTCATGCAGAACAAGGGCAAACAGGCTCCATCTGAGAAACTCTGCAACACCAGAAGGCACTGGCTATTAATTTTAAAAGAAAAATGTAATCGGGGGTGAATCATTGGTCTTCCCTGGATCACAAACCCAAAAAACACTTCAAAATCCCTGGGTGGAAGACAAAGCCTAGCAGGAGTGCATTGCAGCCCAGTGACCTGGTTTCATCCAGGCCAGTAGAGATCAGGACACACAAAAAATGATCAGGACTTTGCCACTACCTTTTCAGATACTGGCAGAGGAGGAGAAAACCCATAACTGGGCAAAATGTGACTTGGAGCTGGCATAACAAAGAAACTAGGTCTCCACAGTGAGATGTCTGAGCATCCAGTGAAGTGGGTCTGCTATGAGTGGTATCCTGGGAAGGGCTGTTTGGCCTCTGGCTCAGCAGGTTTAGAGAGGAAATCTGTGGGTTTTAAGCTCCTTCTACTCACAGAGAGCTCCTCTACTGAAAGCATCGTGATGCTTCTTGGTTTAAGCTTCAATGACATTTTTTGGATTGACTTTTCAGGCTAACAGAAGGGGGGAATGGGCTCTTGTTCCTCCAGAAGGAGACGACAGTGTATTTTTAAAAACAAATTATGTAGAAGGCTAATTAACTTGGCATTTACAGCTTAGCATTCTCCTAAATAAATGTGCTCCAACTGAGACCACATTTTGTTGCAAGGAAGCTTCTGCCTAGCATCTCTTTCCTCCTGCTGCTTCGTATGCTGTGATATTAAGGTCGCAAGCCATCTTCCAACATCCTGTTCGGTGCCTTCCAATTAAGTAATGAGTAAAGCGAAGATCCCAGGTACGGTTTAGCTGTGAGGGCTGAGACATCTCTCAGTGGGGCTCCTTATGGTCCTGGTCAATGTTTTAACAGCTAGAAAGAGCATAGTGGGACAGGCTCCTAGATGGAGATGCTGTTGTTTCTGCTCACCGTAGAGAGGAGCTCTGAAAAGGGGGAAGGAGACTATGTAGGTGAGGAACTTACCTCCTCCTCCAGTGCTAAGGCCTTGCCAAATAATTTGCTCTCTGAGCATGTTGTGGTTATGGCTAGCAGGCTGGGGGGCACTGACAGCCCAGATGCATGGGCAGGATGGGGCAGGCAAAAAAATCCTCGTCCTTGCTGCTGCAGACCCCTGCTGTGGTGCGCAGGACATGCTCATCAGCAACCTGTCCAGCCACAGGAGCTCCAAAATCCTGTTTGCTTGTGCTGTGCATGTGCTTCAGGGCTACGTGGCACAACAGGGCAGTGCTTGCTCCACTCAGCAGGGAGGCGCAGCTGAAGAGAGAAAGCCTAAGCTTGTTTTGACAAGGGATGGTAATTTTATGTTGACATTATTTGGGTGTTATTTAACTCCCAGCAAAGTCTTCCCTCTTCTGCCAAGATCATTTTCCACCCCTGGGAGCATCCCCTGCCCTCAGGAGCCCATCCAACAGTGTGCTACTGGGAATTTACGCATTATCTAAGTAGTTATCGTAAAGAAGGGAAAATGGGTTCACCTGTATCTATCCAGAGAGCAATTGCGCACAGTGGCAGCTGAAAAAAACCTACTTGGAGAAAGCACTAACGTAATGAATCACCATAAGTCTGTACGAAGGGGGAGTTAATAGGATGCTCTCATTCAAAAATTGTATTAGAAATGCTGATGGCAATGAGCCCACATCAGTTGCTCTCTCCACACTTCCGCTCTCTGCTATCCCAAATCGAGTTAAGGTGATCCAGATGCACCTCTTATTGCTTTAGGAGAAAAATATGGCTTATTTTTTTCCTGAGAGTCACAGGTAACTAATGCAATACAGGCCAGGCATAGCGAAGGTAAAGCCCCATCCTCAGCGGTGTGAACCGCCACGGTCGCAGTGAGATCAGTGAGCTATCCCCAGGGCCCAGCTTTGGGAGAGAAAGTCTCAGGAATCTGCTTGACAGGATGAAGGGATAAAATGCACCAACCATAAGACTGGTTTGTGGGAGGGCTGCAGATCTGCATGACTACGTGCTCATGTGGAAATGGAAACCTTGAACTTCTTTCACTCTTTTAGATTTCCTTCTCTTAATTTTTAAGCCTGAATTGACACATTTTCAACTAACAAGGTCAGTTATTCACTTTCCCCACTACTCCCACAATACCAAACTATAAATGTAAGTGGTGGTGGTGGTGGCTAAACAAATAAACGAACACAAAAGACACACAAACAAAACCCAAACAAAACATTCCGTTGTTATAAAGCCCAGAAGCTCTAATCAGGGCTCCAGTATATTAAACACAATACAAAGAGAATGGACTCAGTGTCCAGCTTTTGAGGTTGGTGAGTTAAAATTAGGGCAACTTGGCTAGTGAAGAAGACAGGCAGAATGGCAAAAGGAAGGGCTTGAGGTTTTAGTAGAAAAGACTGTGTGCTAAAATAATCCATAAGAGACTGGTGTTAATAACCAACTCTCCCCACAGCTGTCCTGCATGGAATATGCTGCCTACTCGCAAGCCCATCACGGCTGCATTTATGTGGGTGTAGAAGAAGCCTCCCAGGGAGCATTGCTCAGAGCAGACTGCCTCCAGGTAAGTCCCACTCTATAGGAAGAAAAGAAAGGCTATGTATTTAGTAGAATCACCTGCATGTGTTTATTGACCTCCCCAGAGATCATGGCTGCTTGGCAGCACTAAACCACAGGCTGGCCCAAACGGCTTTCCAAAAAAGCCCCCCCCTCTGTTTGAAAAAGGCTCCAAATTTTGATCTTTTTCTTGATGCAGCAAAGCTCCTTTCTGCCCTTGAGCCGAGAGAAGCGGATGCTTTCGTCAGGCAGAGGACAACCAGAAGCACATCTCAGAAGCACATGATGTACTGGGCTCTCTGGAGACTGCTAATGATGTTTGATTAATTTTCATTATCAGTGTGAGCAATCTTTGCGCTCTCTCTGCATCTGTCTTATTTAGAGCTGTCTTTTCTTTCTTAGTTAAATGGCAGCTTCTACGGACAGCGATCTAATTGTTCCTCAGCACCTGCTTGAAGCTGTCCAAGTTAAGGATGGACATTGTGTAATTTGCAGTACACGTGATTTGGTCTTTAAGGATCAGATCAAATAAAACGGAATAGCAGATTAGCCAGTAATTGAATGAAGTGGAAGGTAATGTGCAGGCTGATGCTGGAGTCACAGAAATGCTTGGGCTGGACAACACTGAATAATGGACCAAATCAAAATATGCATGTTGTGGTCACGAAGTGGCAGGCCGAACAGCCTTTCAGCAGATACACTGAGCTCATAACACACAAACTGCTTCCTGTCTACAAGGGCAACAAACCTTTGCAGTGGATTTTATGCCGAGTCTTTGCAGTGCTATAAAACTCAGATGCAGCAGCCAGGGCACGAGTTCAGATGCTGCTGGTAGGGCAAATACCCAGGACAGGTTATGTGCTGTCACCTATGGGCCTGTCAGCATCCTCTGATGCGATGCAGGGAGCACCTTGTGCTGAGCCCTGTGAGGGTGAACCTGGCTCCTGAGTCGGGGTCATGCAAGCCTTTTGAGTCACGCACAGAGGCACAAGGCGAGGGATGCTCAGAAGACTGTGGTCGGAGGAAGGGTGCATAGGGTCCGGCTCGCTGATGCAGCCACGATGCCCTCTTACAGGCACTCGCCGCTCCAGGACATCAGAGGTGGTAAGTCAGCCTATTGCTGACACCTCAGAAAACCTGTCCTTGGTATGGCCATGGCCGCGCCAGGACAGAGCGCTTGCCAGCCCCCAGAGTTGTTCACATGCTGGAAAGGGGATAACTTTGTCAGCGTTCAGCTGCAAGTTCCTCTCAGGCAGGCAGGCTTGGAGAAGCTCCCTTGTGGGCTCCAGCCCTTCAGTGAGTCCCAGTAAGGATCCCAGCCCTTTCTTGGTTATCAAACCTAATTTTGATTCTCTCCTATCTGGATGACGACATGTACTCATTGAGGCAAATACTGAGCAACTGGGAGTGGTACAACCAAAGCTACAGACTGAGCTCTCGGTCTACATATAAAAAGAAAAACAAACTTAGAATCTGTACTGGAAAAAAAGTTTTAAAATATTTTTACCTTAAAAAAAAGAATACCATCCTCCAACTCACTGTAGTCCTGCACTGGACTGGCAGGCAGGAAAACTTAGCCCACTTTCCTTCACTGCCACCCAGCTTCAATGCCCTGAACTCATCTTTGTGCTCCACATTTCTCATCTATAAGACAAAAGCATCAGCTCCAAAGACTTCTGCCTGGAGAGCTTCTGGCTTGACTGATTTGTATTTGGCCCTCGTGGAGGCCTCACTCTTGGGGCACTCCCAGGAGGCATAGAGCTTTTGGAGGACGGGCAGGACGAGAACAGCCGCCAACAAAAGCAGATCTTCCTCTCCACAATAATTAGTCCGAGCAACTCCTTGCCTTCTACTACACGAATCAGGAGTTACCTGAAGTGCTGTTATATGTTAATTCACTTCAGCACACATGGAGAATCAGGCACACTGTACCTAGCACCAATGAAAATAAATACAGTCTCTGGAGCAAAACCAAAAGTCATTCCTGATTACATTACCGAGCAACACTGCGCAGTGTAAAATGGCAAACCAAACTCAGCCATCCTACCAGTGTTTGGGTGGTGGAGAGCTTAATACTCTCTGCTCTGGCAATCAAAACATCGCTATTTCAAGTAGACCTTTTTTTCTTTGTAAAACACTTTTTGTTAATTGAAGGAAGAGGCATTGTCTGGGGTTGAAAGTTGCAGCCTGGGCACGGCTGTCGGATGCAATGAGGCAGCCAGGGAGAAGCTCACAGGGAGCTGCTTTGCAGGGTGTTGTCATGGGAACAGAGCAAGTAGGGCATCCGCCATGCCACGTCTTCCACACGAACTCTGGCAATGCGGTGGCACAAAATCAATGCCGTTCAGCAGCACTAGGAGAGCCAGCTATTAGCTTGTCTCTAGTAGAGATTTAATCTGAATGAAACACAAAGGCCAGAACCTCCGTTTGTGTGAAAGTGGCGTCACTCCCTCTGATCTGAATGGAGCAAGACTTTACGCCATCCAAGTGAGCACCTAGGCGCAGATGTCAGAGTGAAAAGACTGACATTAAAAATATCTAGTGGAACCACAGTTTCTTCTAAAGAACCCTCTGAAATAAGGTCATGTTAGAAAGCAGTTACTGAGGGCCTTGTTTACTTATACGACTTCACTTGATTTTCACTGTTTGTGCACATTTTAACAGTTTATGAATTTGGCATCCATAATGATCGATGGCAGAAGACAAAGGGTTCAGTCCAGTGTGTACGTCACCACAGCGTACAAGCTAAGAATACAAAATACTGCCATAGTGTCAGTATTTGTGGTCATCTGAAGTATCTGACTCCCTTTGCACAATGCTGTCTTTGAATGCAACTTACCTCCTCTGTGCAGGTCTACATATGTGGAATTATTAGAATTTTCTTTATGTTTATAAGAAATACCTTGTGTGATACTGTGGTTGCTAAGGATAAGCAATGGTTAAGAATGGTTTCCTGGGTAAAGAAGGATATGGAGATTTCTGCTCTTGCAGGGATGACGTACCTAAAAAAAAGATAATATTGTTCATGTCACACCACAGAGACCACTGAAAGAAGAATCAAATGCAATAGGTAAGCCAAGATCTGAGAAAGGTTGAAAATGCTAACTGAAAAAAGGTTAAAAGAGCAAAACTCAATTCATTGCCTCCAAGCTTTCATTTTATCTTGCCCAGTTCTGCTGACAAGGTAAAGAGCTCCTAATTAAAGCAGGCATCTGCAGTGTAACCGCATTGCTGCTGCTGACCCAGGCCAGCAAGATGCTGAGTGCATGCTCCTCATTTCCTATCGACACCGAAGTGTGAATGAGGGGGCCCACATCCATCCAGGGCTCGCTTGACGTGTGCTTTGGAAAAATGACCAAAATAGCAGGCAAGGGAAGAAAATGGAGCCAACGCATGGAGAGGTTCCCAGTTTACTTGTTGAGGTTATTGATTAAAGCCCCTCTGCTTAGCAACAAGTTTGAGAAAAGTAACGATAAACTTTACCGCAAAAAGGCCTGTAGTGGTATTGTAATCATAGCCTTGCACGGCCTTTAGCATATCTCTCACTGGCTATGGTGTTTCCATGCAGGTTGTAGCAAAGATTGGAATGAAATGGATGGCACTGGGTAGGGCATGTTCTGGATTCATAGTGACTTTACTTTTAGTGCTGATCCCTTTGAATACAAAACAGGGAGCGTGCATGGGGAAGAAACTGTGGGTCCTTTTTGGGCATACTTGCCTCTATGCAAACATGCCTCTGCAGAAGGTCTCCTGGGGAGAAGAAGAGGGAGTACAAGACAAAGCGCGTGGAGCAGCACCAACCTCGTCTCTCCCATGGGCAGCGCATGCAGGGTGCCTGAAGTTTGCCGGGGTCAGGCCTGGTGGAGGCTGTTAATAAATTTTGGATTAAATAAACAAATGCAGAAGCTGTTCTTCATGCTGCAAGGGATGAAGTCAGAGTTGTGGACTTACAGATCGTGGTTAACCAGCTGAAGCCCCCTTCTCACCTACAAGCTGCTGTTCCTTTTATTTGCAGCACGTCTCCTTTGCTGAAGGAAGGGACATGCACCAGGAATTGCATTGATAAAGCATGGCATATGTCACTAATTGAAACCATATGCAGAACACTGCATGCTCCCCATGCATGCGATATGGGAAGCCAGCTGGTACTAACAAAATGCTCCAGTGTGCGAGAGTCCCGACTGACCTTGCATTAACAGAGAGGGACCTTGAACTCATAGCCCGCAGGAAAGTCAGGAGTGGATTCACTGAGACAGAAAGATAAAATAGATGCAGAGCTCTTTCAGCACTTCCCTCCATTTGCTTCATATCATAAATATCAATACAAATATAGAAATACAGAGGTAAACAGTTTGTCTAGCTTGTCCTTTCCATATGCATATATTTCTGTTGTGAAAGGCTTTACGTAACTTCTAACAGCAGATGCAAAATAATGCCTCGGTTATGGAAGGAAGCCACCAGCCATTACATTGCATTACTGTAATGTAACGGGTCTCTGAGATGAACTATATTTGGAAAGCTTGCTTTTATTGTAAACCTTGTACCCCATCCACCCCCTGGGCATCGATTTCCTTTTGCATTCTCCAGAGACCAAAGACCACGAGGCCAGAATACCAGCTAGATGTGAACAGAGACACTGGGGTTTTGGCCCAAAAGAGAACTCGAGACAAAACTGTGCTGTTTATTTTAAGGGATGCAGTACCAGTGACAGAACATATTCAAATGGATTCTGATGACCGATCTGCTGAAAGGTGAATTTCTCATTAGCCTAGAACAATTGACATTGTAATTAATTGCTTCCCACACTTCTTTGCTAAGAAAAGGCTGCTGTAATAACAAGTGTTGCCATCATTTTAATTTTTTAAGTGAACATAGGGAATAGACAAAAGACAGTCTGTACTTACTTTGTTTTTATTTTTGTGCAAATGTCACATTGCTGTCATGTTGGCAATGGCTGCAGAAGTGCTGATTCAATCCCTTATTTACATAATCCCTTCAGATTTTTAT